CGTGAGAATCCTATAGCCGTAGCTGGTGATATCAAAGATATGTTTTTACGAATAAAAATTAGGCCAGAGGACCAAGACGCACTTAGGTTCTTATGGAGATATAAAGCCGACGACCCAGTAAAGACTTTTTGTATGACGTCGTTAATTTTTGGTGCTAATTGTTCGCCTTTTGTAGCTCAATATATAAAAAATAAAAATGCTCAGTTTTTTGCGTCATCTAAACCTTTAGCGGTTGAGGCGATTTGTAAACAGCATTATATGGATGATTACATAGACAGTCTGCCAAACACAGATGTCGCAATCGATTTAGTAAAGGATATAATTTTTATTCACAAACAAGGTGGTTTTCATATTTGTAATTTTAATAGCAACAGTAAAGATGTATTAGATACGATTCCCAAAGACTTATTAGGTAGTGCAGCGGTTAGGTTTAAGTTCGATCAACAAATTACTATCGAAAGAACGCTTGGTTTGCTATGGGAACCGATGGATGATACATTGAGGTTTGATTTGTCATTTAAAAATATAAATGATAAAATTATTAATGGTTCACAGCGACCCACAAAAAGGGATATTTTGCGTGTCGTTATGTCAATTTACGATGTTTTTGGTTTTCTTTTGCCTTTTACGTTACAAGGTAAACTAATTATGCAAGAAACGTGGAAAGCAAATATTAAGTGGGACGATACATTAACAGATAACTTATTGGAAAAATGGACTTGTTGGATTAAATATTTACCCGATATTAGTCAGATTCGTCTCCCTCGATATTATCTTAAGAATGTACACAATGATTTTGTAAATAATTTAAAAAATGTACAATTGCATATTTTTTGTGATGCATCTACGAAGGCCATGTGTGCAGTCGCTTACTTACGATGGATCAGTAATAGTGGTGTACACATTATATTTGTAGCTGCTAAGTATCGTGTCGCTCCCCTTAAACATGTATCTGTGCCTAGGTTAGAGTTACAAGCTGCTTTGCTTGGAGCGCGTTTAGCAGATACTTTAATAAAAGAACATAGAATACACATAGAAAAACGGTTTTTCTGGTGCGATTCTACAACGGTACTTCATTGGATACGCAATGATACGCGAAACTATAAGGTATTTGTCGCTCATCGCTTAGGTCAAATAGATGAGATATCGCGTGCATCCGAATGGTACTATATACCAACAAAAATGAACATCGCGGACGTGGGTACTCGTGAGTGTCATGACTATTCTGTTATAACTAAAGAATGGTTAAACGGACCGTTGTTTCTTAGTGAAAATGAGAACTCATGGCCGATGGTCACTGAAGTAACTGAAATAGAAAAAGATAGTTCAGAAATTGCTTGTATTATACAACATGAGTCAGTCGACTTACCTGTTCCTGACGTACATCGTTTTTCAAGCTGGTTACGTCTTTTGAAATGTATGATTGCTATACTTACTTTTATAAATAGATGTAAAAAACGGAACTATATCAATAATAGTAGTTTAATTGAGCAAGCGGAACGATTATTACTACGACAAGCGCAGTGGCAGTCGTTTAGTGTAGATATTGTCGCTATATTAAACAATATATGTGTAGATAAAAAAAGTAAATTACTTACCTTATCGCCGTTCCTCGACGAATACCAGATTCTTCGCGTCGGTGGTCGTGTTGATGCTGCAATAGGTATTCCGGTTGAAATGAAAACTCCTATAATTTTAGACGGGCATCATCATTTGTCAAAACTAATTGTAATGTATTACCATAGAAAATTCGCACATGCTGCTCAGGAAACTTTAGTTAATGAAATAAAACAAAAGTATTGGATAATTAGGTTGCGTCCTACTATCAAACACGTTGTTTCGAAATGTTACTTTTGTAAATTGCAAAAGGCTTCTCCGGTAATACCAAAAATGGGTGACTTACCTGAAGCTAGATTAGCTCACAGCCAAAGACCGTTCACTTTCTGTGGAGTAGATCTTTTTGGACCGATGGAGGTCGCTGTTGGTAGGCGTAAAGAAAAACGGTATGGAGTCCTTTTTACGTGTCTTACTGTAAGAGCGGTACATATAGAAATTGTACCAACGCTAACTACAGGTTCGATGATTATGGCGTTGCGCCGAATGGCCGCTAGACGTGGCTGGCCACGTAAATTATATTCCGATAATGGAACAAATCTTAGGGGCGCAGATACAGAACTTAGGAAATCCATTATGGAACATAATAACGAAAACTTAACGTCGGAGGCTATTAATCATGGGGTTGATTGGTCTTTTATTCCCCCTGCAAGTCCTCATTGGGGTGGGTCATGGGAGCGCCTCATACGTAGTGTTAAAACTGCTCTCAAGGTAACTCTTAAGGAGCGTACCCCTCGTGATGAGGTACTTTGTACTTTAATTGCGGAAGTTGAAGCCATGGTGAATAGTCGCCCACTCACTCATGTATCTGTGGAACCAAGTAGTGCGGAATCGTTGACACCTAATCATTTTCTTGTCGGTACGTCATCTTGTCTTCCTGCGATAGGTTCGTTTAATGAGTCAGATATGTGTCTGCGCAAACAGTGGCGTATTTCGCAACAATTAGCAGACATGTTTTGGCGTCGATGGATAAGGGAGGTGTTACCTACCTTGCTGCCAAGACAAAAGTGGAACCGGGAAACGAAGCCGATACGACGTGGTGATATAGTTTTTATTATAGATCCTAGTTCTCCTAGAAACGTTTGGCCAAAAGGCATGGTTCAATCGGTATTCCCGGGTAAGGATGGTCGTGTAAGAATGGTCGACGTACGCACTACTTCAGGAAATATACTCAGGCGGTCAGCTGCACGTGTCGCCCCGGTACTGTTGGATGATGAGTGCTGGTAAGCCAGCACTGGGGTGGGGCGTGTAGATGACAGCAACGTATGCCGCCTCCGTTGTTAATTTATTTTTCTTTGAATTTTGACATTTTTTAAATAACAACGGAGGCCGATAAAATTTATCTGTCACATTAAACATTTTGTAAAAGATACTCCTGTTTTTGTATTTTATGAAAGTATTAGCAAGATTTCCACCTTCCGTCCTTTCGATAAAGATGAAAATTCGCATTTAGCATTCACAATGCGTATAGCATGATTGAAAAATATTGTTAGTGAAAAATGCTTATAAAATCCACTTGGTCTCTGGCACCCTGAGATGGGATTCGAACCCATAACCTTTAGCTTTCCGGTCGACTGCTCTAGAGCAGTTAAATAATACCAATAGTACTTATATCAAAAGAGATTTATCCAAGAAAATGCTATTTAAGTCGGTCGATTATGATTTCATTTATAATGTACAGAAAACCTCCGCCTGACTTTAATAGCATTTTCTTGAATAAGTCGCTTTTGAGTTAGGTATTTTAATATTTTTATTATAAATTATAGAACTAATATTACTATACTACTTGTAATATTCTGGGTAGGTTAGTTTCTTCGTTTTATTTGTTTGATTGGGATATAATCTTCAGAAATACTGATTCACTCATGAAAATTCTTATGCGGGTAAAATAGGCTATAATTTGTGCTAGCAAAGACGCGAGCTAAAATAGCTAGTGTTTGAATAAACCTGCTCGCAGGCTTCCGTAAGGTTTATTATACATTTAACAGTAGAATGAACGTGGAAAAAAACAGTGCCAATTTTTCCGTCATTAATTATTATTTACGATATCGAAGGCCAGCCATATATTACAGACAGTTTCAAACAACAAATCGATTGGAAACTTCTTAATTGGTAAAGTTACTTACGCGAGTTTGATATGATGGGCTACACTCCACATTTGCTGGAAGACGCTATAATTATTATCACGACTATTCAATATAATTATAAAATAGGTGAGTTCTAACATAATATAACTAACACCTGTAAATTAAGATCTATTCCTATTATTGAGAATATGAAGCTTTGCAGTCCCATATCTGTGACTCTTCATGAAAATTAAGATAAGTAGTTCTAAACAAACTAGTTACGAACTACACCAATACTTAATATACAAACTTCATATTTCAGTCTTTTTGGAGTGACGTTTTAAGTCTGGGATTAAAAAAATAAATTACACAGCGTATAAAGTACATTGGTAATGTAAAACTACCCTTGTTTGAATACTTATCTACCAATAAAATATAAGTTTTGAATGAAATGTTAATTAGACTCGTTACAAATATCAATTAGAGACAAAGATTTCCAACCAGGGATGGAGCATGTTGCTATTTAAGTACTGCGATGGAATTCTACAAGGATTTACAAGGTGCCTCCATGCAATATTGTAATTTAAGATTCGTATTATACCAAAAATTTGTGGTAAGTTTATATATGAAAGTCTAAATGAACTCTTCTGCGTTATCTTTGTGTGGAAACTGTAAATATAATTTCCAGTTCTATTCTTTTGAAAAAAAAAAACACCACGTCCCAGAAAATATTATTTTTATTCAGAACAGACAAAATTTGTTTATTCATAACTTCTCGAATTCTAAAACTCTGTCTTAAAAACACTTACATAAGTGGAAACATTTATTCTCTGGAAGTGTTATTAATAAACAAAGTATTGTTGGAGTAAATTTACGCTGAGACTGCACTGAGTATTAGTCAAAATTCATATTATTAAACAGAGACTAAGCAAAGGTTAACCTAGTACGAGGTTTTTTCTACAGGATTAATATTTATTCTTAGAAAGCAGTACGATTTGCTTATTCTCTGTATATTATGAATTCGGACTAATACTAAAATTGCAATTTTAACGTAAATTTACTCTGACGCTAAACCTTGCTTATTAATAACCTTGTAAGAGTATAAACTATGGTATAACGTTTCACTTTTACTCTACTTTCACACATTTTACAATATTAATATTCAATTAAAACAACTCTACAAACGAACCCGCAGTATTCCATTTCCCCATGGGAACAAGAGATTTACTTAAAAAATTACGAATTATAATATCTAAATTCCAATACTACCAATTCTCAGTCCAAGATGGTATAATGTTTTGTTTTTAACGTAAGCCTAGGCTATTTAGGTCCAAGCATGTCCTCTGGACGCACCCACTGATCGAACTCTTCAGAAGATAGGATGCCGAGCTCGATAGCCGTCTCTTTGAGATTGCCACGCTCCTTGTGAGCGGTCTTAGCTATCAATGCCGCCTGAAAAAATAAACGGGCATCTATACAAGATAGAAATGTTCGAATCAGAAATAGGTGGACATTACCAGTTTTATTTTGGTTTAACTGAGAGTTTGGTTTATTTTACTTATTTATTTTTGTTTAATCAGCATTGCCAAATTACAGCAAATGGCGGACTTAATGCCAGAGGCATTCTCTACCAATCAACCGGTGAAGATAAACAAAAATTTGTAAGGCAGTGACAGTGATAGAGAATTTGTATTCTAATATAATTAAAAAATCAAAGACATTTATAGACACAAATGCATATATACACATATATATTAGGACAATATACCACATACAAACACACAAATACATATATACATAAGTTTGATTGAATTAAAAGATCAACAAAAATAAGTTCATTAAATATAAACAAATCCATTTGGAAAAGTAAAATAAACTACCCAAAAAATTAACTCATTCGTATCGATAAAAGAATTTTGAAACATTCATTAATAAAACTCAATAAATATGTTAATAACAGCTTTGGCTAGAGTCTTTGCTAGAGAATTGGACAGTCGCACCCTAAGTCAGCACAAATTAAACCCGCCATACGAAGTTCAAATTTTCCGTGGAATATCTTGTCATAGGTGATTCCCACCATTTCCTCCAATAATGATGGACTATAACATCAAAGAGTCTACTTAATATTAACAGGATCCATAAACTATTCATCATCAGCCTTTTAATTTCTCCATTGCTGGGGCACAAGCATTCGCTATGGATGGAATTGAATCGAATTGAATAGGGAAATCAGTCCATAACTCATCACGCGGGTCCAGTGTATATTAGTGGGTATTAACGAATGTCGATGTAGCCGAAATCAACGGCTTGACGTGCCTTCCAAAGCTCAGAGGAGTGAAACTTTTGGTTGTATCGCAGACCGAATGAGCAAACCGCTGAGCAATCGAGCTCTTCTGTAAAATCTCGTTCTATAATATATTATAGGTATATAGACAGATTGCCTTGTCGTATCCAATGTGAGGATTGAGTGCTGTAACGAGCATGAGGGAGTTGAGCAAGAAATGACTGATTTTTTCTTCGTTGGCCTTTATTCCCACAGCGCAATTTTTGTTGAAGGCTTGACACCCGTCACCTGAAAAGCTATTGTCAATTAATTCATACAGAAGGAAACAGTTATATCGAAGAAATAAAAAATATGACAACATGGGAATCCAAAAAATCAATATCGGAGACATGCATTGCCTTGGAGCTGGATGTAGTGGTAAATTCATTATTTCAGTTTTTTTTTTTATACAAGTGGTAAAATCTATCTAATTTGAGATCTGAACTTGGCGAATGACATATTTAATTTTGTTTTCATCTCAAATGTGAATTGCGTAGCACCCATCACAGGCACCCAGTAACATGTGCCCGTAAGTTTTCAAGCAGTTTTCTCTAATATAAATAAATAACTAACCCAACAGTCGTATCGATCTTAATACATTGGAAACTATCAAAGGTTTGTAAACATTCAACTCAAAGTAGCCGTTGCTGCCGCCTATGGTGCATGCCACATGGTTTCCCATAACTTGAGTGCTGATCATCAGCAGAGACTCGCATTGTGTTGGGTTCACTTTACCTGTAAGTTAAAAATCTATATATAAAAGCGAATGGTCACTCAACCATTCACTCACTCATCATGAAATCTCAGAAAATTTTGTATGCGGGTTCTTTTTAGGAGGGATTTATGAAATTAAACCCCTAAGGGGTTAAATTAGAGGTAGTAAGTTTGTATGAAACTTCATTACTACGAGTGCTAGGGGTTTCAAATTTGGCACGCGGGTTATTTTTTAGGACGGAGGGCAACCCTAAGGGGGTAAATTAGGAGATATTTTTTTTTCCGATAACGCAGAATAATTTGGATTGTGAAAGGCGTGTTTCGTTTCACTACTACCAGTTTCTACTCTTCTACTTTCGTAGATAAGATCATCAACACCGCCTTCTGAAGATAAAACATTAATTATTTGAGATGTTAAATGTAACTGCTATTCTAATTTGTATTGTAAGTAATATTTGTTAACTTCGATGGAGTAAAATTTCGATATTTTTTTATTGCATTATCAACTTATTATTACCAATTAATCTTTATCTACAAATCATTTGAATTACATAGAATAATAAGCAAGATGGGAAGCTTAAATCAGAATATATTGCTATTTGCTAACCGGGCATAATTGAAGAGCCTGGTTCGTTCTCAGGAAGTATCAGTTCTCCGAGGCCACAGCGTGGTCCTGACGCTAACAGCTGGATATCGTTAACAATTTTCATTAGAGAGCACGCCACTACATTCAGCGCTCCGGACACTTCCACCATCGCGTCGTGGCAAGCCAGAGCTTCGAATTTATTAGGCGCAGTCTCGAAAGGTATGCCTGATCACGAAAAAATGAAGTCTGATTACCCCTTTAATGCGACCTGTATACAATTTCGCTCGGAGTGATAGTAACAAGGAAAATACTGCGCAAACTTTATCATATTTCTGGCTTAAGGTTTTAAAACTTCATTATAATAATATATCGAAAATAGAGCAATACTAATAATGTTATTTAGTATTATAGTTTTAAACGTATTTTATTTATCACTGACTTTTTCTTTTCTATATAATTTAAGTTTCGCATTTACTTAAATTAGTTTTTCACTTAATAACTTAGATAAGTTGAAGCGACTTACCCGTACAAAATTTAAAATTTTGAAGAATTATTAGAGCTTATAGTCGCCATTAAACCTTAATGGACGTTTGTTTAATTGACCGTGTGTGTTTAAAGCAAGACCCATGCCAACTTTAAGGAGAATTCATCTAATTATCTAATAAGTATTATATAAGAGCAGGTGCGGCGGACATAATTGAATTCTTAATGTTATTGTGAAGTAGTAAGACAGATGATAATGTGGGTGATATATCACCAGTAAGCCTCGCTATTTCAGCAGCACACTTCTCTGCGAACCCAATCCGTGTGTTGAGGCCAGTGCCTACAGCGGTGCCACCTAGCGCTAAATAGTGAAGACGTGGCAATGTTGCGACTATGCGATCGATCGCATATGTCAGTTGAGTACTATAACCGCTAAACTCCTGCCCGAGAGTAAGTGGCACAGCATCCATTAAATGAGTTCTGAAATAGGATATTACGTTAACACATAAATCATCATCATCATCACCAGCCCTTTTACGTCCCAACTGCAGGGGCTCAGGTCTTCCTTATGGATGGTTAAGGAGGATGGGCCACGACCCTCCACGCTGGCTCAATGCGGATTGGAGGACTGCAAATGCAGCCAGGACCAACGGCTTAAAGTGCCTTCCAAAGCACGGAGTAGCTCGAGATAATAATTTTTTGGTCACCCATCCTGACCGATGTGACCGACCCTTGCGAAAGTTGCTTAACGGCTATGATCGCGGGCCGCGGCGCTTATCCACTACGCCACCGAGCTACCCATAAATGATTCTAGTTAAATATAACTAGTTATAATGTGTTACTAGAAACACACATTTACAATGTTTTTAATTGATATCTAGGAATTAAGTATAACATCATCAGCTTGATACTTGAGGTCGAGTAGATTCTTCTTCAATTGTCGTTATTGTAATAACAAACTTTACTGCTATTATATATTCTCGGAGTCTTCGCTTAATTAGTTTAATTCTAAAACGATTATTGAAAGCAACCTTGTAAGTGAAATTTCTTTACCTGCCAATTTTAATAATCTTGTCAAATTCCCTCGATTTCGCTGATATAGTATCTTTAAGAGCCACGAGTCCAGGCATCAGTCTATCTCTTATTTCCATGGCGACTGCTATATGCATAGCTGTCGGGAATGTATCGTTGGAGCTCTGGGATTTGTTTACGTGATCGTTGGGGTGGACCGGAGTCTTCGTACCCAACTTACCACCTAGGATTTGAATCGCCCGGTTTGCTATCACCTAAATGAAGATGATCTAGTTTTTATGAAAATGTGAGAATACATAACGACGAAACAGAATCAATATTTAATTCAACCTTGGTAGTAATATGCCCGCTAGCAGATCAAAAATACAAGTAATAGTTTATTGGTAGGAAGAGAAGCTGAAGACTGGAAGCCTACTCTAATTCACCGAAAAACGAAATTTCGTTCGAAACTTCGGACGTTTCCTACCACAATTACATTCGTTCCGAATATTCAACGAACGAAAATGTTTGACATATTTATTTTCTAAACCTACTCTATTTCACGAAATGACAAAACGAACATTTGACTTTGACATCTAATTGTTCGGAATTCTTACCTCAAATTGACGAAGTAAAAAATGTTACCTTTTCATTTTCGTTAGCAATTTTTTATTTTCGAAATGGGGTCTATATTACTATTAATCGAGTCAGCTCTCAGTAAAGAACGATTAGACCGTAGAAGAAATCGGCAGCGGCTTCGAAATAGCCTTAATATAAGAAATATTCTCGATACTGAGTTTGTAAGTATTTACAGACTCAGTTGTGAATTATTTCAAGAACTATGCCAAGAGATTATACCTTTACTGCGTCCACAGGCAAGATCTCATGCCATCGAGTCCACAATTAAACTTGGAAGATATTTTATCGTAGTTCTTGATAAAAAAAAATTGCATGCCTACCATTATGCATTTCATATTTTTATGATTCTTACAGCGTTGAATTTTTATGCCCGAGGTAGTTACCAAGGATTCGTATCTCAAAACATGGATGGGCCTATGGCCCAACAAACAGTTTCACGGTGTTAGGAGGTTAGGACTGTCCTCAATTCACCAGATAGGTATTATAAGAAAATATATTATTCCCTCAAAACCAAAATGAAAGGAATCTTATTAAGAGACAGTGAGTACCTAATAGTTTATTGTTTATTTTGGCTTTATGTATGAATTGTGAATAATTACCTATAGAATTATGTCATTAATATTACAGATTTTACGAGGCATATAGGCTATGCCATTATACCTGAAAAATATGACTGATAAAAAGTAAATTTATTACTAAAAACCTTTTTTGTGCCGAAAAACTAAATATTACTTTCATACTTACTTATAAAGTTTTTTACTGAATTGTCAAGATAAATTTCGGAACTCACAATAATTAAATAAAATATTAGTAAACACTGAACAGTTTGGTGAAAACTTGTAAAACTTTTGGCGGGATGAGAATCGTTTGTATTATACGGATATTTAAGATTGCCATACGTTGATTATAGCCATCGTATAAATGAAAGGTTGTTTTTAAATATGTCGGTTAATACTGTGGATAAAAGAGTTCTTTATAGTGTCTTGATAAGTTGTAACGAAAAATAAAATTCATTAATATACTAAGTTTTTCGTTATATTATTATAATATTTTATGTTTAAACAATGTTTAGCCACTAAAATTTTATTTAAAAGAAATATATGTATTGTTTAATATTATATATTTCAAGTTACGGTAAAAACCGGAATTTGACATTATAAGAAATCCAATAACGCCATTCACTCCAATCGATCACGAAAATTGTCTTTGGAAACGAACATTCGTTGGTGTATACGAAAATGATAAAGAGTAGCGTTCCATGCGAATTTCGTTTTAATTTCGTTCGTAAACGAAATTTCGTTTTTGAGAAAGCGAGTAGGCCTCCTGTAGATTTGATTCCTTCCATTGACGTTTTCAAATAGTTGTCAAATAAGAAGAAGGTAAATTTTTGAACAAAATTAAACCAGGTAGGTATCTACAATTAGTGGCCTTTCAAACATTTTATTTATAATAATGTGCTTTTGTTTAGTGAAACTGGAGCATTATTTTTGGAAGATTTTTTTAGGAATACGAAGAATCATTGTAAAGAACGAGCAAAATAGTTACTGAATGCAACCAGCAACAATTTTTTTTTATCACAATTAGCTTGTCTTTTCCATAATTCTGTTTTTTATCACTGGACTTTAATATAATTTGTGCTATAGTTATATAAAAAATCTTAACTTCTATTACTAGCCTAAGTTACTTTAAATGTAGATTATATTGTTACCTCATTAGTGTTCATATTTGACTGTGTACCAGACCCTGTCTGCCAAATCACCAGTGGAAAATGGCCCTGTCTATATAGCTTGCCAGATATCACGTCTTCTGCAGCTTCCATAATTGCATCCGCTAACAATAGGTATGCATAATATGAATGATTGACATCTTCAGTTTTTATAAATAACTTAATTTGCTGATAGAAATGTGGCTGTAATCTATACTATACGAGTAGCTCGGTGGCGTAGTGGATAAGCGCCGCGTCCCGCGATCGTAATCGTTAAGCAACTCTCGCAAGGGTCGGTCACGGGATGGGTGACCAAAAATTATTATCTCGAGCTACTCCGTGCTTCGGAAGGCACGTTAAGCTGTTGGTCCCGGCTGCATTTGCAGTCGTTAATACCCTCCAATCCGCATTGGGCCAGCGTGGAGGGTCATGGCCCATCCTCCTTAACCATCCATAAGGAAGGCCTGAGCCCCTGCAGTGGGGACGTGGAAGGGCTGGTGATGTGAATCTATACTAATATTATAAAGAGGTAAAGTGTGTCTGTTTATTTGTAGGCGATAATCTTACGAAATAAAGATTCGACCGTGAAAATTCATTTACCTACGGGAAATGAAAGACAAGATAGTTCAAAAGCAGAGAATAAAATACCAACCGGTGTTTCATTCTCTACTACTAACACAGCTAGTGGAATTATGTATCGACAGATACATGAATAGTGCGTGTTATAACATCCTTATTTTGTTTCAGATGTCTGGATGTGATGTGTCAGATATCAGTAAGTACATATCCGTATTAGCGGACATGCAAAGGAAAAGAAAAGAATCATATCCGTATACGTACTTGATTAATTTTGGTGAATATTTTACGAACCTTATTCATTTTCAATTCATAGATGAAATTTTATCTCATGAAATGAAAGTTGTGAAATAAAAAAAAAACTCTTAAGTGTGTGTTACAGTATAAAAATAGAAATTCTTTTATTTTCGATGTCAACTAATTATCAAGTTACGAATAGGTATACTTTATTGACGACATGGTACATCACTAGTACTAATGCAACAATTTGTTAGCTTACCTAGCTTTTTGTCAAGTCCGTAATCAATGTTCACTTTGGCAGCGGCTTTTTTCAATATACCGAACGCTACAATAATTGCATACTAGAATAAAATATTTTTATTATGAATACATTTAGAGTTACAAATACGAGGGGTTTGAAAAGTTCTCGGTCTGACCGAGATTTGAGGGTGGTATATAAACTAATTTACTGTGATTCGACAGCTCGATTATTTACTAAATCGTATGTCAAGTGATATTGTATTGAAACTGTTATGTCCGTAACTATATAATTAATAAAACACGCGTCTTTACTCTCGAACATATATTTAGCGACAAAGAAACAAGGTAGACAAAAGGAGCAACGTTTATGCCTGAAAAATAGTTCTACCTACTTATAAAATTGCTAATGATAAGTACCCGCTGATACTTATCTATTATACATCACACCTCCCAACTTAATCAATAACAATAGCTTATGTATATACACATATTGACATCAGTTATCAATGCCGTAACGCAGTACGGCCTTACGTTCTCGTTTGGGGCGATTCGCGGGTATACACGGTGAGTCGGGTACATTTGATTCACCTGGGGTAGTATTTGGTGAACGCTGTCGAGACACATACCGGTCTCCTGATGGAGAGTTACTTGCCTCCACGTCTATGCTCACCTCTGATCGCTCAACGCCCTCCTCACTCCCATTTTGACGTTCTATACTTTCATTTATTACATTAGGAGGACAAGGAACGTCGGACATTCTCGATCTACGCTTAATTTGGTCAATATGTCTATGTATCAGTCGTTCGCTACCGTTGTCTACTAAATAGCGGCGAGAGCCCTCGACGGCTACCACTGTGCCTTTCTGCCACTTGTCAGAACCAGTGAAAGCTTTCGTCCAAACAGTTTCTCCGGGAGAGAACACGCGCGCCGCCCCCGCCCCTTCCGCGTACTGTTGCTGGTGAGCCTGCGCGCGCGCCACACTCTGCCCGCGTGCGTCCTCACTACGCAATAAATCGAGTCGCGAGCGCAGAGGCCGTCGCTGTAGCAACATAGCAGGCGTATCACCAGTACTGCTATGAATACTGTTCCTATAACTTAATAACGTCTAATGATTCCCTAATGGCCTTTCTAATAGTACGCTTACAGAGTTTAACGGCGTTTTCTGCAGCACCATTCGATGAGGGATGATAAGCAGGTGAAAAAGATTGTCGAATGCCATTATTCCTCAAAAAGGATTGAAATTCGCAACTCGTGAACGGTGGCCCCTGATCTGACACAACTTCTGTTGGCAGCCCGAAACGCGCAAATGTAGTTCGCAGGGCCTTAATGACAGATAATGCATTCGTTCTAGACATTTCAAAAACTTCGATCCATTTTGAACTTGTATCGACCAGTATTAAGTAAGTTTTGCCATTTAATGGACCTAAAAAATCTATATGAATCCTACTCCACGGTTGAATGTAATACGGCCATGGTTGGGGCGGCGCTCGTGGCGGTTAAATTGTTTATTTGTTCCCGAGTTTCGGACCCTGAAATAATAATATCGTCCAAAAATACTCCTACGTAAGGAATATCTGCAAACATTTGTTCCAAATGTTTTTGAAAAATTCCAGGGCTCGACGACAGACCGAAAACTAAACGATTATACATGAATAACCCCTTATGTGTATTTATTACAGTATATTTTTTTGATTCGTCTAATTCAAATTGAGCGTAAGCTTGAGACAAATCAATCTTACTAAATTTTTCGCCGCCGTGCAAACGTGCTAACAAATCTTCCACCTTAGGCAACGGGTAGCGATCGACTTCAATTACTTTATTTAATGTTAATTTGTAATCCGCACAAATCCTAATGTTACCGTCCTTCTTGACAACAGGCACGATGGGCGTGGCCCAGTCTGAGCGATTGACAGGAGTGAGAATGCCGTCGCGCACCATTTGCTCGAGTGCGCTCTCGACGCCCGCACGCAACGCGTATGCTATGGGACGCACACGCATAAATACGGGTCGAACCCCTTCGCGAACGTGTATGCTCACTTTACCGCCCGTAAATCGCCCCAATCCGTCCGCAAAGACTTTACAGTATCTGGAACTAAAATCATCTAAGTTAAAAGAATTACCAACAGTCGATACATTATTTATATTCTCAAATTTAGGCAGCTGTATTTTCAATTCTATTAACCACTGTCTACCTAGTAATGAGGTTTTAGCATCTTCTACCACATAAAGACTTAAATATTTATTGACACCATTGAAACTAACTAAAGGTTTTATAACTCCCACGGGTCGAATTAACTCCCCCGTGTAGTACCTCAATTTTAATTTAGATTCTTAAATATCTAAGTGTTTAAATAATTTATAATATAAATTCGTACTTATACAAGAAACTGCACTGCCAGTATCAATTTCCATATTAATATTTTTACTGTCTATAATAAGGGGTATAATTATCGGAGTACACTGTGAAATGGATACTTGATTTACTGTTGTAATCATTACCTCATCGCTGTCTCCACTGTCTACGTCAACCTTCTGTGTCGGAATCGTCACATTAACATTATGATGATCTGTTAAATAAGAGCAGACTCGACGCAAGTGTCCTTGTTTATTGCACACTCTGCACACATAGCGTGAAAACTGACACCGAGATTCATCGTGGCTTTCACCACATGCGCGGCATTGTGTCCTGGTAAAAGCGAGGGTACCTCGCGCATGCCGCGCTGCCGCTTGCTGCCCGCGTCCCATATATCGCCCGCGCGGTGAAAATCGAGCCCTGCTGCTGCCACCGCCACTTCGCGCCGCTTTGCTCTCGCTACCACGCCATGTAGTTGCCACGGCCTGGCATGACACGACGTCGGCGCTCGATGTGGATGCTCGGCCCTCGACCGCCGCAGCATCCTTTTCTGCCGCTTCCATGTTAACTGCCAACGCGTACGCCTTCCCGAAATCCATCTTTCCTTCCGTAAACAGGCGCTGTCTTATCGTTTCGCTACTGATTCCACAGACTAGCTGATCACGTAAACTTTCTTCTAGCCAATTTCCGAATTCGCATGTCTTCGACATTTTTTTTAATACCGCCACATATTCTGATATAGTCTCATTACTATTCTGTTTCCGATGACGAAACTTGTACCTCTCTGATAAAATACTAGGTTTTGGTTGTAAATATTGTTGTAAAATATCCGTTAATTGTTTAAACGACTTGCTTGTTGGCTTCGCAGGGGTACACAAATTTACTAATAGCTCATAACACTCCGCTCCCATAACTGTGATAAGTGTAGGCACCTGCTTTGTCTCCGGTATTTCATTCACTACAAAATATTGTTCCAGACGTTCCACGTACATATTCCAATTGTCCGAACGTACATCGAATTCACATATCCGGCCTATCGACATTATTTTAATCCTCGTCGCCACTGTTATGTCCGTGACTATATAATTAATGAAACACGCGTCTTTACTCTCGAACATATATTTAGTAACAAAAAAACAAGGTAGACAAAAGGAGCTACGTTTTATGCCTGAAAAATAGTTCTACCTACTTATAAAATTGCTAATGATAAGTACCCGCTGATACTTATCTATTATACAAAGGGGAGAATATGTAGAAAAATAAAAAAAAAATTATTTTTATTTTCTTGGTCGAGCCGATAACTTTTCAAACCGTAAATATTGATTCATTTGCAATGAAATATCCATTAATATTTTTTTGTTAGATAAAACAATTGACTACGGTTAATTAAACAAACAGTAAAACAACATTCATAAGCGTCGGTCACTGAATCGGTGGGCAAAAGTTGATCATCTCCTGAGGCCGTTCGGAACACATGTTAAGGTTCCTTTGTTCAAATAAGTACTATTGCAAAGTTTGTAGAAGAGCCCTTTGAAATAAAATTAGACACATATACTAAGTTAACAAAAGATAGCTATCTTCTTCTTAATCTATATATTATGTATATATATATACATATATAAACCAATTGATGAATCGTTTGTCGTAATCCAGGGAAGGCTTAAACAGTGACAGGTGATACAAAGTAAAGTCATCTAGTCTATAAATAAATAAATTAATTGCTGCACGTTTGTCTTGCTAAAATTCGAGAACTGTTGGGCTGATTTAGCTGATTTTTGTTTTGAAATATTTGGGTAGATTTACATGGTAAGAATACGAAGTACACCAGGATACCAAGTAATAAATAAAAACCTAAATGAGTAAAAGTTCCCCTCGTGAAGTATCTCATCAATGCTGAAGCAGGGTACTTTAAGCAAGTATTTAGAGTCTACTTTAGTGAGCAAATATATAAAGTCATTAGACAATGACCAAATGCCGAAAATATCGCTGCATCTACAATGAGGAAGTATTTAAAAAAAACATTTGTTCCCGAAATTAAAATAGATTTCGCTACGGTACGTTCTTAATTTCTTGATTTCTCGATGACAGCCCTTTCGGTTTACTTTCATGTTTAAAAGTAAATTAGTTTTCAAACCTCAATAAACAACTCATATTCTATCTGTACTTTTTCGTATTTGTATTGATATCTAAGTTACGAAATTTTTCAAATTTCAGTGTTTTAATATGTAAGTTAAAAGGAACGGACATGGCTGTCTTTGGTCCATTCGTCTGCAAAAATCAACTTTTGATAGAGTCGCCGTAGAGGTGCTTTTTTAGGGCTTTCGTTTTTTTTAAATACTCCTTCATTCCAGTGGATGAGTTATGACCTATTTTTTCTATGTGATTCAATCCATTTAAAAGGTTTGCCCAGGAAATGTGGGAGTATGGTAAATGACGATAAACTTACTGGCATTCTCTCTTCGATGCCTCCGATGGGAAAGTTCATGATAGATCTGACAGTCTGGCAGCCATAAAGCCTGTCGTCAGGTACATCCAACGAGCCAAATGTATCTGTCTCTTTTCTCTAAAGAATACAATAACATTACAGTATCTCCTATTTCTCAAAGAAGGAAACAGGGATGAATGGTCTAAAGGAGTGGTTCGTAACCTTTTTTATCGTTTCCTTTTTATAATTGTTACTCCTATGACGTACCGGGAAATGATTGTACCCACCATCTACTTCTAGAGTGGTGTCTAACTGGAGACTTTTCTGAAAGATATCTTTGAATGGGCTCATGATATTTTAGTTTTATTTTCGTTTAAATCGTGGTTAAGTTTGAACGATGGTTCTTAATATTAAAGGTTTATTATTACCTACACAGAATAGCTGATTTACGAGCGGGGATGTATCAACCCAAGTTAGGTGCCACTAATCTAAAATCATATAATTTTCAACTAGCTTTTTCAATGTTCAACAACCAATATACTGATGCAAGAACCGTAATAGCACAGAGGTAAAGTGCTACAGCCTGGCATGCGCAAGTTAAGCACCTTTCTCAAAGGTCGGTCATTGAATAGGTGACCAAAAATTTACAATCTCGAGCATGTTTCGCTGTTGGTCAAGGCTACATCGTTAACAGAGCGTCAAAAACAATTTTCTATAATTTACTCGCAAATTACTTCACTTATTGTTATTATTTTCTAAATTCCGTTCGTACACGAAAAGGTGAAACTTGTATTTACTAATGTTTCCTATTATATTACATGAAAATATATTATGTGAAAACATATAGAATAAATTATAGAAGCGGATATGTAATTATATACTACTGGCTTTCCGCCCGCGACTTCCCGGTCGGTCGGTTTACACAATGGCAGTACATTTATCCCTATGGAACCGTTTAGTGGGATTAAGTATATTACCTATATCGCACACCTAGATCTAAACTAAGACAACTCAAAAAACTAATGTGGAGGTCTGACAATACATTTGTTTACGTGGCAGGAGCGCGACCACTGTTGATTCAACAAAAGAAAGCTAAAGCTATCTTGCGGCTCTTCTCTGAACTTTATATTGAATCTGTTATGTTGGATAGACGCGTATGATCACCGAGCATTTGAATATTGTACTAAGTCATAACTCACTCAAATTTTTGAGTTGTCTCAGTTTAGATCTAGGTGTGCGATATGTTAATTCATGTTTAGAATTATTCGAATATCAAACTCCACTAAAATCCGTTCAATAGTTTTGCGTTGAAGAGTAACGAAGGTACATACACCCTCACGAACTTTCTCATTTATTTTATACTAGCTTTCGCCCGCGGCTTCGCCCGCGTGGCCCCTAGGGAAATGTTTAGTGAGATCAAAATAATTGTAATCATTCTATAGGTATATCCAGAGTAAATTAAATATGACTTTCTTATTTTTTTTTATTTAAAATTTGTTGGAAGTACTTCTATCCCTAGGGAACCTTTTAGTGGGATAAAAAGTATACCAAATTTCATCAAAATCCGTTCAGTAGATTCGTCGTGATTGACGGACAAACAAAGAAACTTTCACATTTATAATATTACTAGGATATAAACTCAGTTTATAATATTAGCAGGATATGGAGAAAACTTATGAATTAATGTTTTGACACACTCAATTATACTTGAAGATTACTACTAATGCTACTTTATTTCTTTGTTAGTAGAGGTCTATATTGAAATCGATTGGGTGTTAGTTCTTATATATTTAGTTGCCCTCTTAATCAATGAACTTACGAATTTGGTAGGTTTCTTTTCTGGATCCATACAAAGTGTACAAGCCATTTTTTATATTAAATATAATACACTAAAATTTCATCAAATAAACCTTCGAAATAAACCACAGTGAATTTGTAAACAAAACGTCAAATGCACATTTAATGTCAGTTAAGTTTTTTTTTTTAATAGACAGCAGTTGTTATTTATATAAAAGAGTATTTAATGCAAGCCATATGTAGTCTATGGATATAGAAACCATCAACAGGGTCGGGTTTCAATCAAGAAGTTTAGATATCTTTACAAATATTTATTTCAATCAATATTAATATTAGAAAGGGACGCGAAGTAGAAAAGTACCATGTAATGGATATAGACATAGATAATTTAAGGGAACCCACTGTAATATGAGGGGTAGATTTTGTAATAAACCTAATATTACCGACAAAATTGGAACGGAGCCATGTTAAAATTATTTTTTTTATTATTCAATATAATAATCTTATGCTGTTTCGCGACCGATGCTTTCTACTGTAACGAAATTTATTCGAGGCTAAGTGTATTTTATATCCCATTTGTCTTTTAGCAAAGGCATTTCCTCTTTCACTTCACTCTTCTTACAGAAAATCATTCTTTTTAAGGTGCTTTTACTGAATTAAGGCGGGAAGGGACTCCTTTCAGATTCGAATCTAGTTTTGAGAGCTAAATAAAATTAAAGTTTATTAGGTAGAATTAGAATTAGGACGGTAGAATTAGTATCAATCTTGTGTAATTTATCCTATTAATATTATAAAGGCGAAAGTTTGTAAGTATGGATGTATGGATGTTTGTTACTCTTTCACGAAAAAACTACTGGACGGATTTGGATAAAACTTTACAGCAATATAGGTTATACATCAGAATAACACATAGGGTACTTTTTACTGGGAAAACTTCTCACTCCCACGGGATACCGACTTCCACGCGGACGAAGTCGCGGGCGTCCACTAGTTTGAAATAGTTTCAAAGTATATAATCATGATCATTTAATTTTGAACTTTGACGAATAGTATGTATTTAGTTTATTTATATTTAAATTTAGGTAATCCAATTTTCTAGTTTAAAGCTGAAAATCAGTAGTTTGCTCTACAATTAAACATATTACTAAGCTTTTGCCTTTTTGCATCGTTCCGGCGCACATGCAGACTTGTGTATATCTTTTAATTTAACATTTTTTTCTTTGATATTTTGTCTGTATTTGTATTCACTCAACTTTTATAATTGCTGACATGTGTGTGTGATATATGCAAATAAAAATATTTTTCATTCATTCATTCATTACAATATATAATCTCGTGCTTTATCATTCGTTCGTTTTTAAATAAGACCATGTCAAAGTAGCAATACGAAAGGAAATGTTGTCATAACATCGCTAACATGTCGTACCCTATGACTATAGTTAGGCCTAGATAATTAGACAGTCATTCTCCAGGTCAACTATTTTTTCAAAGAAAATGACATAAGTCGTTGAATACTATAAACGTATTTTTTTATTGTTAACTAACTGTTTTTTCGTGATTTTGCTCGTATAACTTGCAGCCATGTCACGATTTTTGTGATCCTATCAGTATTTTGAAAGTTAGAAAGAAACTTTACTTCTTTAAAATATTGGTATAGATATAACAATGTTCTACTTCGTTGAAAGGAACATACTTATGTCTTATGCAAATAGCCCATTATGTATAGTTTGGGAACCATAATAATATCCCTATAAGGATATTAACGGGAAATTGATAAGAAGCTTATACGTAACGAGCTTCGTTGAAATTTCTCATGACGAGATAAATATTAAGTTCGCTTTCTCAAAAGCATTGATAAATTGGTATAGAAGGAATCATAATGTAAATTATGTGTTGGTTATAAAAGTTGAGATAGATAATAGGTTTATTGATGTCTTGTATTTATAGTGTAAGGTACGATTTAGTATAATATCCGCTCATCCTTTATATTTGGATTGTGAGATAATGAGAGAGTTTATATGTAGATAACGTATAAATTAATACTCTATAATATTTTTTTTATTAAAAATAAAATCATAATTTCAGTTGTATGAATTACCTATTTAAACAGAGATTTGATTGTCCGAAACAAAACTTTTATCATAATTGGAAAAAATTTTCAAAATCCTTTTTTTTAGCAATAATTTCTACACATAGGCCCTCGTTTTATATTAATTGACAGCCGCGTTGAATGTAAGTGATTGTGTTGACGAAGGTCGCTTTTGCTGATGACTCAGATTCAACCCTCACTTATACACCAGTGTCGTTACAATATCGATATTATCTTCATATCGATAGTTGCTTGATACTGATTGATTTCTTGGGAAGTGAAACATCAATAAGTCAAGAAACTCATTTTTTAATTTATGATACAATGAAGGCAGGTCTGTCTACGGCCACAATAGACTATACGGATACCATTAAAAAATATAAGGATCATTCGAATTTCCAAATTTACGTTCGTGGACAAACGCTAATCTACGTAATTAATGTTCTATTTTTAAAATCCAATAATTAATTGGAGTTATTTGACGATAGTTTGGCATACCCGATCGATTCTAAAGATAACTCTAACAATAGTATTACTTGTTCTAAATACCTACTGTACATAAAAAAATTGAAAAAAATGAAAAATGATGACAATTTCTAAATAAAATAAAACTACCTATTATTATTTTATACTACGCCATTTAATATTGTAAATAAATATTATTTAGTAGCTACTTTCACTAAATCACTCTACTTTTTAAATATATCGATAGCGAAGTCACTGCAAATACAACAACACTAATTGTAACTCACACATTATGTGGCGTGAAAGGGACACGTGAAAAACTGAAACGTTCAGACGCAAAGAGCTAATTAATTTTGGGCTCGAACGAATATTCAGTAATTTTGTCTAAACCTATTTGTACACGTAATTTATAAATAAAAAATTCTTCGCATAAAAAACTGTAATATTTTGCCTTATTACTTCGTATATTCCACTAAATTATAGATAAAATAATCTAGTACTTAAGATCAGTACACAATCTCAGTTGAGATTCTCAGTAACGACTCACACGGTAAAATGTCCTAGTTTTATGAAACTGATATCAAGTAATCATTAAAAGAAATTAAATCAGAAACAAAACACCTGTTTAAGTGACCTATAAAATGGTTTAAGTAGGGTAATGGTTTAATGGTTTGAAGCGTGCTTAACTTTAAATTCTCAATTCAGAAACTGGGTGTAAGTAGAGACTCACACGACTACTCTATAAGACTTTCAGTAGAGACTGATGAAGAGACATCACATCAGTCTCTACTGAAAGTGTTATAGAGTAGTCGTGTTTTTAATACAATAACGAAAAATTAACCATTATTATTCCCAAAGGATAATCTTAAGTTATGCGTCTGAATAAAGGTCTTTGACTGTCGGTTATCTGATTTGATTACAACCTAAGGATTGTTATAATTAAATATTACTAAATAAGCTATGATTATGAATTTGAATGTTCTTTTTATCATAAAATAAAATAATGATTTTTTTTCTTTTCATTGTCTAATTAAAATAAATGAAAATTATTTAAAATATATTGTTTAGTCAAAGTCAAAATAATTTTTGTATAAAAAAACTTTTTAAAAGTGCTTTTGAATGTTCTTACCTACGACTCGGCCAGTAGCTTCTTCGAGTAACAAACTACTTATTAGATGTATTATTTAATTAATATTTTCAATCAGTCTAGAACTCAGAATTCATTTTCATTGACGAAAAAGCAAGCATCGGGATAACTCTGTATCCCTGCAGGTCTACATTCATTATCAAAAGGACGAAGGGGCTCGCTGATTCTAATATCAAGCTAAAAAAGGATCAAAACGTTTGGTTCTAAAACATTGTATTACTATAAATAAAATGGTATTACTTACTTAATACGAAGCATTGCTAAGCTAATAAATAACAAAAAATAAATAATATATGTGTTATAATATATATCTGTTTTACATGACATCAAAATAAATATTTCTATAGATATATTTTTATTATAATTACAATACTGTATTGTGATAGAAATTTAAATATCGTACATTATATCAAGAATAAATTTGAAGCAGATATTTTGATTGTTGTGCGCGTATGAATAGATGAATGTATTCATTCATCTATTCATACGCGCCATCTTGCGGAAGATTTTGGCAATTAATTATTTTGTCGGTTCACAGGGTTGGCGATTCATATATCTCGGTACAATTATATTACTTTATTAATAAGAATTTAGCAAAGTAGTTTTTTTATGCCTCCTATCGACATTTGTGTGAAACTCCGTGAGTACTATGATTTGAAAATTGACTTCATTTATTATATTTCATTAATTTTACATTCATGATGATGCCTTGGAAAATATGCTTATCTTAACCGAAAGTTTAAAGTATATGTAAAAATATTTCTTTCAGTTGTTTAGGTGGATTGGCTGAACATTGATGGAAGTACTGAGCGCACTAACAGCGAAAAGTAAGCTTGCAAAGTTCGCCAGTCCAGGGAGGTTCAGTGGTTAGAGCAGTCACACACTGGATTGAGAAAGGTCGTGGATTCGATCCCCAGGTAGGGCTGGTGGATTTTTTAAGCAATACATCTAGATCGAACTTAATATTCTTTCTGAATACCTTGCGCTACAAGTTACTATCTTAAAGCAGCGGTTATGTTGAGTCCGCTACATCCCAGACCACGAGGTTTTTCATATTAAGTACTGGCACCTAATATTAACGCAATCTATTTTTAATCATTGGATTGTTATAAACGTAACTGAAATAGCTTGAAATAAGTTATTCTGACCTTAGTGATTAGTTGGTGTAGGTCGTTAAAAGAGGTCGAAACTGGGACGGTACGCGAGGGAAGAGGTCCCCTCGGGACCGTTACCGCGCGTCGTTCCCCTTAGAGAGGGACATTGCTGACTTTAAGTGGGTGGGTATGGTGGTTATTGACTATCCCCCATTCGGGGGGTAGGTCCGCTAGGTTCCCACATAACTAAACTAAACATTACTCGTGGATCCCGCGCAGGGTGAAGCGAGTATGCGTAACGCATTTCTCGGCGTTAAAAAAAAAGAAAAAAAATGTCGTTGAAAAAGATGACCTTATTAGACGACAATACTTGATCCAGTATAGTTTTCATCCATCCTCCGTCACCGAGTAATATGACTAGTGTTGTACTCTACTTGGTTTTTAGCACTCGGACTTAAAAAAAACATAATAGGTACGTCGTTTATTTGTTATTTCAATTGTTGACAATCCTGAAACCTATAACGCTCAGTGTACTGTTACTGTGCCCTTTGAGAAATGAAATGCGGTGGCACGAAATATGACGACCGCTAAAAAATATTTAAATAGAATTTTTCCACTAAGTGTTATTTGAAGATTTCTTATTGTACCTCGTGGCTTGAACGAGGTATTCGTGGTATTGTCTTGGGTTTTCTATTATTACCTATATCGATATTATAATATTAATAAATGAATATTAAACAGCATCGTACACCTAACATTGCTCGATGGTTGTAAGCTGGTTTGATTTGCGATGCAAATTTCGAAGAGCCGGTTATTAGATGGGTGACCTAAAATTAACTATCTCGATTTTTACATGTTTCAGAAAATACGTTAAACCTTTGATACCGGCTGTACACCCGCTAATCCGCAACTGAGCCCGCGTAGTGGGTCATGGCCTAATGTTTCCGTACGATTCGATTCCATGCTGCGCATTGGGGATGATATTAGGCCGATGATGGTAATTCTGATACTAAATAGCTGAAGTCGTTGTCATATGAAAATCTGAAACAACTGTAACAGAAAATTATTAGGTAATGAAACCTCGTTTACATTAACATTGTCTCCCTCTATTCATAGTGCTGTGATTACGATTATGGTAAAATAGCCCTTATTACACATAACAACAAATATATCTATATAGAGTGACTCACTGACAGACTATGTACAGCCGAAACTATAAGCCTAAAGTTGAAATTTGGAATGAAGATTCCTTAGGGAGTGTAGAGGAGCCCTAAGAGAGGATTTTTGAAAATTCCTCCCCAAAGGGGTTAAATTAGGGACTGAACATTTTTATGAAACTTCATTACTACAAGTGCTAGGAGAGCATGCGGGTTCTTTTTAGGACGTAGATGCTCACTTAGCCGGGATTTAACGAAATTCGACTCCTAAGGGATTAAATTAGGGGATGAAAGTTTTTATGGAATTTTCTAATTTCTGGACTTAAACTAGACGCGGGCAAAAACGCGGGGGGAAAAGCTAGTATATTTATATACATACTTGCTTTCCCCATTTGTGGTCAACATCAAAGCTCATAGAAAAAAGATATAATTATGTGTTTTTCTTTTCCCTAAGGCTCGTTGTCTCAATACAAGACGATCTCGTCCATCCAACTGTTTAATTTGGTCATATACAGAAATATACCTTATCATCATGTACATATTGTCTTTATTATTTATTTATTTGGTACACAAACAAAAGTACATTTATATAGTAATAAACAAGTTATCTTATAAATATGTAGCATGTCAAGTTGTACTTACAATAACATGTTGAGACAACATTACCAAACAAAAGGAAAACATTATAATGTTCAGTTCAGCAGGTTTAAATTTACGCACAATAATTATAAAATAATAAAAAAACGTAAGATTAGAATACATATTTTAAAGATCATAATAAGTTATACATAGAAAAAATTTCCAATAACGTTTTCTTCGATTCAATAATGTCGCTTTAAATTAATGGCAATTTAAAATCAGAGATTAACTCAAAATTATATCACCACCAGCCCTTTTACGTCCCCACTGCAGGGGCCTTCCTTATGGATGGTCAAGGAGGATGGGCCATGACCCTCCACGCTGGCCCAATGCGGATTGGAGGGTATTAACCACTGCAAATGCAGTCGGGACCAACGGCTTAACGTGCTTTCCGAAGCACGGAGTAGCTCGAGATAATAATTTTTGGTCACCCATCCCGTGACCGACCCTTGCGAAAGTTGCTTAACGATTACGATCGCGGGCCGCGGCCGCTTATCCACTACGCCACCGAGCTACTCAAAACTCAAAATTAAAAAATAATAACACTTTTGTAAGTATACAAGTACATTAAATTTCATTCTTATTTACTTCTAATTTAATTCCACTGCTAAAAAGGTAGATTAAACTAGGCAAGTGCCTAAGCTCGCGGAAATTTGACGAAAGAAGGAGAGTTTAATTCATTGAATCATTTTCCACTTCGCGTCCACCTCTAGAACTATCTCTTTTCCATAATCCACTACCAACACCGCATCATTTTGCTGCATGGAGTTTCATCACTACATAGTATAAAAAAAAGTCGCTTTCTCTGTTCCTGTATCCTTATGTATGCTTAAATCTTTAAAACTACGCTACTTACTTCGATGCGGTTTCTTTTTTCATAGATAGGGTAATTCAAAAAGGAAGTTTTTTATGTATAATACAAGCCACGCGGGCGAAGCCGCTGGCGGAAAGCTAGTAATTAATAATTTCAAATCAGAGTTCCTTTTTATAGTGTGGCTAGCGCTTGCCTAGAATGCTCTCGATTTTAATCTGACGCTAGTAGATATAAAATTTACGATTAACAACATCAATTGTGCAGTGATTAGCACGTTCTGTCTGCGACGTGGAAGTTAAGTAACTTTCGCAAAGGCCGGCCACAGGATGGGTGACCAAAAAATTATTAACTTGATTCCTCCGTTATTTGGAAGGTATCTGTGGTTGTTAGCATCCACCAATCCGCACTTAATATTATGCACTTTTTTAATAGGTTACTAATAAAATACCTAAACTTTTTCAGATGAAACATTCTTTATTGAAAAATTGGCAAAACGAAAATGTTGACATGGAAAGAGGATACTTAGTGGTACCAGTTAGCTCCGCAAACAGACATAAAAATAAAATAAAGACTAAAATTCCTACTATGGAATATTAAATTTAGTCCATCTTGTATTCCTTATAGGCGTTTACAATTTGTTAATAAGTCCAGCAGGCCAATTCCGCTAATGTTTTGATCTCAAGTATTTGCTATTGTACTATGTATGTACCTGAAGTCCCATATTATTGTATATCTGTCACTATTGATGTGTGAGGAAGATTTTTAATAGTAATATAGAACTTTAGATAGATACAATGGTTAAATACTAGTAGTTTAGGTTCGTTAAGATTAGCGAAAGTGTCCACATATACACTTGCCACAATTTATCGTTATACAATTAAACGCCAAAAGTTAAAAATACAATAAATTATTACATTATCTTATTTTTCATATACTTATTGTAAAACAGGACCTCGATTCAGACTGATTGAAATTAAAATTTAGATATTTTTTTTCACTTTGAACTTGGTCCAGTCTGTATAGCAAAGATTTTTGTGAATATGTAATACTAGACAAGCTGTTCGGAGCTAAAACTGTGACACAGTACGAGACGTGCTGCCATCTCGCTTACCAGTAATAAGAAAGCGAGGCGTATTATGTCTTTTGTCAAAGGCAAAGAAGAAACATATTAATTACAACATTATTTTCTCACTTGCATAACTTGCTTTGATTTGATTAATAACAATGTTGTATCAATCACATTAGTAAATTTATTTATTAAGTTTGTCGATTACAACTCTCGCTCACAATCAATTAAAATATATTGTTGTGTCACCAAATAATTCAGCGAGTAATTTTACAAAACAACAAAATGAATCAAGTAGATAATAAAAGTCTGCTTTAAAGCTTATCAACTAACAATTTCAACCTTAGACCTAAAGATCCCATCGCATATTATTTCTAAAAACAGTTTATGTGTATAGAATAGAAAAATAAATTAATAAATCGACATAAAACTAATATGATAAATAAATTAGTGATAAAAAAAAGGAATATGCACTGACTCTAAATAATTCGATACCAGAGCAATGGTAATGATGTTAAAAGAACATCAAACTCACTAAACAAAAAAGTATATAAGGTATTATATCAATGCTAAATGTGTAAACTATACTTTTTCAAATCATTAATCATGTAGTCACATTTGGGCGTTAGTAATATTATTATAATTCTTCATTATAAAAAGATATTACACGATATAACATACATTGCTAGTTTCTTAATTTAACCAGCAAAACCACTTGCATTATGGAAATTTTTTACAACAAAGATAACACAACACACAGACTAGAGAAAATATAGCAAAATGTATCTAAGAATATATGAAACTGACGTGCCAATAACAGCGAACCTTATTATGTTAATTCATTCTGAGTCAAGTTACATAATTTCTGTAAAATGTAGTGTAGTGCGTATTGCACTTTAAAATCACGCAAGAATTTTTACATTAAAGCTCCGGTATATACTTGTGGAAGTATTTTTGTATAATCGTTCTAGTTATCTTTCCATTTCCTCATTAAGTTGTCCATTGACGTTATCAGTGGCAGATTCTTTGTAGCCTATCACTAAGTTCTCTAATATAAATTTGATTGTAAGTTTGTATATATTTTCTATGTTAGGTGTGTATCTGTCACCCAATGTTGTTTTCGCCGCTTGCAGGAAAGGCTGTTCAATTTTCTGTAACAAAACATGTACTTAATACAGAATATTTACGACTAATATTGAGTTAGTGTATAAGCGTATTGATATAGTTTTACTTCAAAGCTCCCACAGTAATAAAAATCTTAAGGTGAAGTTGTACTTAATTATCACTTTTTAAACCAATTTTATTCTAAGCCTATGCAAATACTATTTGCTAAATAAAAATAAATTTATGAAAATGAAACAATTTATCGATTGTTTGTTAAAAACAAACACATAAATTTCAATAATTGGCTCGATAGAAAAAAATCGCAGTGAAGACTCTACATAGGTTTTTTGGATCGATTTTTCGACTAATAAATTTAATTTGAACTATATAAAAACATATATACAAAAATAGGTTTGGTATATTTTTTATTACTGCATTTTTTCTGTGGTTAAAAATGTATGAAATCGAGTGAGCGCGTCTTTATTCTCGATGCTTATTTGTTTGCGTATTCGTACGGGAACGCAAGCGCAGCCCTGTGTTTCAATCAATCAATTAGTTTTTTGATACAAAAAATATATTAAATAGCATTTCTTCTCTAAATGACGTAAATTCAGACACATAAGTTAATTTGAAATCAAGTCTGGATTTTTACAGAGTTGCTGGGCAGGTACAAGTGGGCCTTAAGTTCATAGCGCATTTGAACGGCTCAGTAGCATCATTGTCTCTAATTTCGATAACCGCTATCTGCACGGCGCAGAGTGCTAGCTCATGAAGAGAGGCGATGTGCAAAAGTTGCATATATTGGGGACGAAAATGCTCTGCTGATCAGGGGGTGTTACGAGAATCGATGAAGTTAGAAATAAATACATTCGTGGCTCATTTAAGGTTGCCGATATCGATTTAAAGTTCAACTGTGATGCGACGCATCGAAAGACATGGCGACTTCTCCATCATGGCGATGCAAGAGGTAGAAGCCGTCCACTAAATGGACTGGAACTCTCTCTGTAGATTTGAATACATTGGGATTTCGCTCAGAAATGACACAAAATCATCAAGTATGGCAGAAAGATATCAGAGGAGCTGACCCCGCATAGAGCTTAATCCAGGAGAGAAGAAAGACTACAGATACAGTAGCGATGATCTGTTTCTTATGCTATTTGAATCCGCTTGATTCTTATTGGAAAATAGTTATAACTAGGTATTACTCAAAAGCAATATATATTTTAAATATTAACAGTGTATCTATAATGGTAGCTCAAGATGTGCTGAAAGGTATAATAAAAGTATGTAATGCATTATAAATAAAACTGCGGGTTTTAATATCCACCACGGAATTTTTATTACACTACGAACAATATAAAAAATAACAACACAGGAAAAATGCTTTGAGTATGTTGGTTCCCCTTTTATAACCTGCTTGAATAGTTTTCGGTGAACTATTCGGCATACGTGCTTGATACCGTAAATAGTTTCTATTAAGTTTCATTGTGTCAAACTTGTTCAGACATTTAGAAAAACTAAAGATTCTAGGGTGAGAAATGAGTCGGTTCTCCAGAGACTTGACAAGGAGATTCTGCGTAACATTAAACAGTAAAAACTGGAATACCTTGGCTACTTATAAATTAAAATACAGGGGAAAACACAAAGACGTCGAAAACCAGGCAAATTTAAACCTACATGGCTCAATCATTTGCGTAAGTGATATGGGTTGAGAACAAGATCCTTGTTCCGAGCAGCCACCGTTAAAGTGTGGATTGCTCAAATGATCATCAATCTAAAAAGAAGTGTGAAGCAAGCCGACAAGATAGTGCTGGATTATTATAAAACTGCAATATCACTTCCTATCAAGTATATTACAGTCACTTTGTAGTGCCAATAAAATAAAATGTTATTTCTAAAATCATTTTACTTCTTTTTATACTTAAAAAGACGTAGAAATATTCTAGAAACAATCATTGTAGAACTTTTGATATTTGAAAAATCGAAAATCGCCTGGTCTTAATTTTAAACATAAAATTTGTGGAGTTTGGTAGCAGTATGTATCTAAGAAGCTCCCTCATTGGATAATTTTCAATCACCAAGTCTTGCAATAGAAGTTGGTATTTATTTAATTAATATTTATGATTAGCAGTTTTAAAGAATTATGTGTATCATATTATAACAGTTTGTCTATGACCAATCAATCTTATATTTATGCACATCATCTAAAAAGAGTTTAAAATAAATGAAACATAATGTTCACCAACAATTCTTCTTTATTTGGTTTCAAATATTGATTCAGATATTAATTTATATATATAAAATATTTTTTCATTCATATAATTTAGAGATACACCGTAATTCATCATCATTCAAACGGTCATTAAACATATTTTTGAAATCACGTTATGTCCATAGACAATAAAATAAAAGGTACAACCTTTAAGCAAATTGAGTCGACAAAGTAATTACTGTATACTTTTCTCTTGCATCAACATCAAAGGGCAAGAAGACATCTCGATAATAAGCCCTCGGAACGGTAGAGGTTCTAAATTAATAAGTGAAAGTCTTTTCTTCTGTTAATTGGAGACATGACAAAATTTCCGTTCTTTCGAATTTCCTGAGGGACGATTGAAGTTTAGGGTGATTCTTGGGAAATGTGTTCTCCGTGTAATTTCCAGGGCATTTTTGAAATCGCAAAATTATGGTGAATTATCTAAATATTTCGAAAACTTCTGCAAATTTAAACAACATATTAAAATTGGCCACGACTGAGATTTATACTTTTGCTAAAAAAAAATGTAGAAAATTGGCGGACCATGGAAATTACAATAAAGGCAATGGAAATTACACAGCAGATAAAATTTTGCTAAACACCATGTCATATATGAAATTAAGCTGTCATATTAGTTAGGGTAGTATTAAGATCTACCTACATTATACTGAAACGATATACAGTACTTACTCAAAATTGGAACGAAACGTAAACACGTTCATGTTCTCAAAAAACAAAATTATACAACGTGTTATGGAAATAGCGCAAAACCTCTCAGGTGGTAGCTCAGCCCATGAAACTGAACAACTTTCACTATGAGACCAACATTGAAATTTCAGCATCTGGCAAATTTTTCGAAGTAACATTACATCGGACAAACAAAAGTCGGGCGTCGAAGTAAGATATGCGATGTATTGAAACTTCGAACAATGAATGCTTCGACGTACTCGTATAGTTGTCGATGTATCAATTATCGAAGAAACGTGTTTCGAAGTGACATAATAGAATCCTTTTTTGAAATGGTTATTTATTTTGTCAATCATCGTATAAAATACGCATCCTACGTCAAATATCAATAATTAATTTATTGTAAATTCAATTGGCTTTCATTATACACCAATTTGGTACCTGTAGGGCCAGTGGTTTTCTCAAAAACGATAGATAGCGAACACCGGTCATAAGTAGATATTAGGAGGTAATTTCAGTCAAGATAACTATCGTTTTTTGGCTATCTATCGTTTTTTGAGAAAACCATTGGCCCTACAGGTACCAATTTAGTGTTTAATCAAAGTAAATTTTTACAATAAATAAATAAATTATATAATATGTTAACTTAATCCGGTGATATTTAAGACGATTTAATAAAAAAAATAACCAACATTCAACATTTAAGTCTGTATTTGGCGATGGCGTGCATTTCGTTGAAAACAAACATTGAATATAACGTTTGTTATTTGCAACCAAAAAAAAACATGGTAATTTCCATGGGTGATACGTAATTGCCATGGTGTTTTATCCATGGAAATTACCAAAAAACATATATTTTGAAATTACTCTGCATCGAAAAGATATAACCGGCTAGTTTTTTACTGTTTATCTACATTATAGAGCTAGGTATTTCACCTTAAAACCCTTTTTCTAGAAGAAGTACAATTATATTGAAAAAATATGACATGGCAAAGCCGAATAACTGAGACCAAAATTTAAGAAATTGAAGAACTTATTCTCGCAACGAAAGCGCGGGAAACAGCGACGTGGCCACCTCACATGCTAGCTGCGGCGTAAATGACGATTCGCAAAAACCAATCGGGGTTCGTCTACGCCTCTCCAGCTCAGAGCAGTATCTCGCGCAAGGCGCGCCGCGAAAATTTTGCTAAGCGTGTGACACGTATACTTCTGACCATAAAATCAAAAGTTTCCTTCCGATTAATTTGAAATTTGATCAATATGTAAACCGATTTGTCTTTTTTAAATGTGTGTAACAAACCGATTAAAAACGTGGGTAATTTCAAAAATATTTGCGTTTGCTCAAAAGTCGGCACGCGTGTGACACGGTAAAAACGTGCAAAATTGACCGGATTTGAGGTGTTGAGGGTAAGTTACTCCGATCTACGTCGTTTTTTATCCGTGAAATCTATATGACACGATGCTTAATGAAATGAAGAAACGATGTAATAGTAGTTTTTATCACAATAATTTATTTTTATAGGAGATATGTCCCTGTGACACTCAAAAATTGCTTTTTCAAGAAGTACCCTTTATTAAGAATCAGCTATTTTCCCGCTACTGCGTTTACATAAATTATAGCCTATTTGATTTGTGTAGGATGTAGCTTTCTATAGGTAAAAGAAGTTTCATGGTCGGATCAGTATTACCCAAGATTACTCCCTACTAACAAAGAAAGTTAGAATCTTTACCTCTTTCTAATATTAGTATAAATGTAGATTTTCACATCGAGCTGATTTCACGCCAAACATTATATACATTATATTGTATTACTTTTTTTCGTGGCAATAAATTTAGGAACCATTTGTGAATGGTTGCAATTTATTCGATCCAGAAAACGGTACAAAGCTCTTGTAAATTATGAACCTCAATAAAAGGGTTTTCAGACAATTGTTAAAATCGAGAAGGCTCTCCGCAAAAACATTCAAAGCCAACATAAACGTTTTTGGAACCTTGAAATCTGATAAAGGAAGCGGTGAGCTTTGGGGAGCTTTAAAAAGTGAATTTAATTTGGAAGTCCGATGAAAAGTGCTAACTTGTATTTATATAAAAATTTTGTAATTTCTAAATAAAATATATTTTCATAATTAAATTTTACTAGTTCTATTACCGACTTCAAAAGTATCCACTCACAATGATGTTTCTATCGGAATATTTTTAGCCAACATAAAAAGGATATTACCTTTACTTATATTATAAAGAGGATAGATTTGACTGTTTGTTTATTTGCATCGAATAGGAGCCGAAATTACTTGACGGATTTAAAAAAAATTTAACCTGTGGCTACATGATATGGGGTTGACATAGATTATGATTTACGTATGCGAATTCGCGGGAAAACAGCTAGTTTCATATAATATGTTTTGGTTCTTGATATTCTGCAATCACTAATGACTCGGACTTTTATTCTAAAAAATAGAGTGATGCAAAAAGCAAAAAAAGTAGATATAGCTGAATCTAACATTACATCTAACATTACTAAACTAAGGCTAAGCTTTATTATGTCAAGCAGTATCTGACTTGTGTGTGATCTTGTCAAGGAGTTCATGTAAAAGATAATAAATAACTTATAAATGCTGAAAAACAAACACCAAAAGTACGTTTCGTGCCGGAGTCAGAATGTTGAACCGTATCCCTTTTAAAGTAAAAGTTCTAAAACAAACTCAATTAAATATCTCATATTACATTTTAGAGACTGGTTGCTTCAAAATTAAAAAACCCTTTTACAGTCTGTATGAAATACCAAACTAGGTACTAAAATTTAGTAAACTAATATTAGGTACTTGTACGATAATGAATTTATTCACTAATTTTAGGGTTCCATACACATAGGATAAAAACGGCACCCTATTGCTAAGGCCATTGAGTAGTTCGGTGATGTAGGATAAGCGCCAGGGTTCGCGACCGTTGTTGTAAGCAATTTTCGCAAGGGTGGGTTTCACGGGATTTGTGAATAAAAAAATATTATCTCAAGCTACTCCGTGCTTCGGAAGGCACGTTGAGACGTTGGTTCCGGCTGCGTTTGCAGTCGTTAATACCCTCCAATCCACATTGGGCCCGCGTGGAGGGTCATGAGCCATCGTCTTGACCATCAATAAGGAAGCGAGAGCCTCTGCAGAGAGGCAGTAACAGGGCTGATGATGATTGCTAAGGCTCTACTGTCTGTCCGTCTGACACCGGGCTGTAACTGTGATTGCTAGACCGTTTTTTTTTTCACAGATGATGTATTAGTGTTGCCGCTACAACAACAAAAATAGAATTAAATAAAATTTAGGGTTGCTTCGATGCAACAAGCGTAATTATTTTGTATCTTTCTTTGCACGGAACCCTTCATACGTGAGTCTAAGTTGCACTTGCCCATTTTTTTAATATTAAGAGGTACTAACCCAAAAATATTCTTCTTTAAACCCAGGGACTTGATGATGTGTAGCTCCTATATGTCTGATGTATGCGTAGAATGTGTCAATGTCCTTCAATCCCTTGATGCCTTCATCTAATGTGTGCATGACTTTGTTAGCATGCTCTGCTAGTTCGGTGGAGGTAGCCTGAGCCTCTAACGTGTGAAGCTCTCCGAATTTTTCGAACAGATGCAGAAGATCTTCGTTCTCTTCAAATAATCTAGAAGAAAATGAAAATTTAACCATCCTATAAATTTCGTACATAACTACTTATTATTCCGCAACACCTCGCGTAAATTATTAGTCTATGTCATCCGCGAATGCTGTGGCTTGTTTTTAGAAATGCTGCCTAAAATAACTATACTACCCGCACCAAGTCGCGGACAAAAGCAAATTTAGAATAAAAACCGAAATAAGCTGTAATATATTTTTTTAAATACGTCCCCACTGCAGGGGCTCAGGCCTTCCTTATGGATGGTTAAGGATGCCACGACGCTGCCCCAATGCTTATTGGGGGGTATTAACGACTGCAAATGCTGCCGGGACCAAAGGTTTAATGTGCCTTCCGAAGCACGGAGTAGCTCGAGATAATATTTTTTTTGGTCACCCATCCCGTAACCGACCCTTGCGAAAGTTGCTTAACGACTACGATCGCGGGCCGCGGCGCTTATCCACTACGCCACCGAGCTACTCTGCCTATTGCTGCCAAAATATAGATTAAATTAATTTTACATACAGGAAAAATTTGTTATCAGTACATAAAATTTCATAATCGACTTCGCCAGCGTGGTAGCGTACCTTACATATAAAACTTCTTATTGAATCACTCTGTATATTGATGAAAACATCATTAAAATCCGATATATACTTTAAAGATCTCAGCGTATAAACATCGGAAATCGGAAGTGAATTTATTTTATGTTCACCTTTTTATTGCTAGACTATTAATATTAAAAACAAATTTGGTCGTATTGCTTCCTGAGCCTCAATAAATAACTACAGTTCTGTATGCCGTCATCGAGGGTATGATAGGCTCATACCGCAAAATAATTACACTAACACGAATCCAACTTAACGGTAGGGATATGTTGTGTGTGCGAAATAATTACGAGGTCCACATAAGTCCGTAATGGGTCTCTTTACGTAATTTATATTAACTACAGTAGGTATTACAACAACATAATTTTTATAATTTATATTTGAACTATTATGATTTTGAAGACGAACTGACAGTTATAATAATTAATATAGTTATCATCAGCCTATCAGTGTTTCCGTTGCTTGAACACAGGTCCTCTTTACAAATTCAATTGAATAGAGAGAATGGTGTTCGTTATTACAGGTGCACCTGGGACCAATGGCATCATATGCCTTAAGATATAATTTTTGTGTCTGGACGTTAATTACTGTTTTTCGTCAATAATGATACAATTAGATTAAAACTATTCAATATGTTTTTTTTTAATCTTTGGAAATATATATTTTTAAGTGAAATGAAAGAAATTGCGCACTGATAACATATTTTTTCTGTATGTAACTTTGAACGTTACTTTTTCTGTTGATTTTTTTTATTTTATCTGAAAATCCTTATCAATTATTAGATATAAGTAATATTTCTGAATTCATTTCAGTTGTTAAGTAACACATCACGTTATTCCTATTACAAGGACCTATTAAAAGTAGTGTAAATTACAAAATAGGTACTGCACTGTTATATATAACTTCACTGTTTATCTCATATAAGTAAGAGTTTTAAGTATTCAGTCAAATATAATTTCAGAGTTTACAAGCGATGTTGGATATGGAAATGTTAAAGTTAAGTTTTGATTGATGAGACAGCCCTGTGGCTCAGAGGTAATACCCGACTTTAATTGTAGACTCCAAACGTACAGACAATACTCAGTCTGGACGGTAAATTGTATACCTACTATAGAGTAGAGAAGGAAGTTAGAACGTTGTTTGAAATACGTATTTACAAAAAAAAAACACCGGATACAATCGTGTACTTATGTATACAAGATTATCATCGTAGTTACACATTTTATATATGTCAGAGTCAAATGATTAAATCAGCTGGCTAATTGGGCAACTAGCTTTTCAATTGAATGGTAACATTTCGACCGTTCAACAAGATGGCTGGCTGCGACATATGCGATGTAATCAAGTACAGTCTCCAGGCATTTTTCCCGTCTCGAAGTTTGATTATACGATTATATTGTTGACGTTTTATAATGTGGCACATCAGCCAGCCTAAATGACCATTACGAATGTTGCTGACCATCGAATCGCATACCGAACATGCTACGACTGCACCACTGAGCTCAATGTACATTAGGTGTCTCAAGTACGGTAATTTGCTCATGTTCTTATAACGCACATTGCCTTCTAAAATTTTTCTTGTTCTATGGATGTTGCCTTATAAACACATAGTTGGATACAAATCGTACTTTGATTGTTTTAAGGCATGTATTTATATTTGAATTACAAAGACTGTGTTAAGATTGTGAAATCCAGTAATAAATGCAAATAATAGCATGATATTATCTTTTAGAGATACATTTTATTTTGCTTTTTTTTCTACTACTCAACTTGTATACTCTCTCGTGGTAAAATAATAATAAAAAAAAAATTTCGTTAGTTCATGTTTACTATTTTTTTTTTGACATTTTACAACCTGAGTTATCTGTACCCATATGGTGTACTGTTATTGATGTACAGCAACTTTCACATACGTCGGTGATTGTATGGGTGACCAAATAGAATATGTTTTTATAGTCAAAAGCTTATGGTTATCTAAAACTGACTTTATACAATTAATTTTAAAACTTAACATGTTAAATTATGAACTAGGTGAAATTACTGTCTCTCGTACTACATTACGTCTGTTCGTCTCAATACAAGTAGATATGTAAATCAATAACGTAGACTTTCATAAGTTCTTATTACAGCCTGAATAAATTATATAGAAGTTAAGATATTATTATTTCCACATTTGCAAACAAATTTTTATATTGTCACTATTTTGTTCAATTTTCCTTCTTATTACTTCTATAACTGGCAACGATTAATTTTCCAAATGTGTTTATTTATATTGTAATATTGGCACAACGTAACACAATTTTCTCTCCAAGTAATAATAATTCTAGAACATATTATACCCCCATTAAACCCGGCATGGGGTTTTTTATTTCGCCGATATTATTAACTTGGCATATGTACAATAATCGACAAAAGGTACTCCTAAAATTTATACAGCATTCAGTATTTAGGGCTTGATTAAAAAAATTTGAAATACGTTTTTTATTATTTATAACAAAAAGTCCCTGTTTCAATTATTATTTTCTCTTCTCTCAAATTATGGCGCAGATAGATCATTAAATTTTCGGAAATCCATTAATTGATGAGATCATAGTTGAAATATGTAGGATTTTCTTATGCTTGTTTATTAAGACTAGCTTGCATCAGCTATTTAGGACTACGGGAAGTACTTTACGAGTACTGATGATAATTAATGATTCAGTGGCGAAATTAGAGTATTTTAAATATCAATAAAATCGATAAAAGTACAAGAGTTAAGCTCTTGATACCATAAGTCCAGTATATTCTAAGTCTTGTTATTTCCGATCCAAACCCGAGTTATGAGGGTTCAAAAAAGGGTTCAAGTACTTCGAAAATTGTTAAAAATTGCCCTTGCGTTTTGTTTAACTTGCATGGCGAGTTACAACGGTTGCTCCAGATTTGATATTATAATATTTAGTCAAAGAAAGTCATATAAAACAATATGATTTTATGATTTATTTACTTTGTTTTAATATTGAATTTGATTTAAATTATTGAGATATTGTTGAGATATTTTTACGTTTTCCGAATGATTTTATATTTTATATATTATTATGTTGTTATTGTATGGAGTTGTGTATATGTTTTAGATATATTTTTGTTAAATGAAAAATCAAACAACTAAACTCTTTCCAAATCATCGGAATTTAGTAAATTTATTTTGATGTTGACTGTACCGTGTTACTTTCGCATTCTCTGTAAATTTCGTTACATTTTCATTCTCTTTTTAACAAGTAAATAAATTTTTATTCTTTGACGACATTTTGTCGGTTACATTAAAAAAAACGCATATGATATTAGAATAATTAAACGGTTTATCATTTATAAATCACAAATGGAGCTCGATAGCGCAGTAGGAAGCGCGTCTCGAAAGTTAAGCAACTTTCGCAAGAGATGGGGTACCAATTATCTCGAGCTACCCCGTGCTTCGGAAGTCACGTTAAGCCGTTGTTTTTAGCTACATCTACAGCTATTAATTCGACTCCATCCATAGGAATTCCTTTAACGCTCCAGGAATAATGCGTTACGCACTGTGTGGTAGGGGATGTGTGAGACTCTCCCACGCTGAGGGCGGGAGCCTACCCACTAAAAACTTTGGGCATACCCTGCATTGGGTGTGGCACCCGGAAACCCGACCGTATTCGCTAGGTTAGACACTCCCATCACAGGGAATACCTGTACCCTAGTAGTGAAGACATTAGTATCACTAATCTCACTGATAAAGCCTGGGTACATCAAAGAACAAAGTACGAAAAACAAAATTGTTCAAATTTAAGCGAGTCAGTTTTAGAGCTCCGTATCCCAAAGGTAAAAACAGAACCCCGTTACTAAGACTCCGCTATCCGTCTGTCTGTCAGCAGGCTGTAAACACCTGAAATATTCATAAATTATAAAAAAGTAGAGTTGTTACATGTGTATAATGTATATCTTACATTTGGTTCGGAGAGATCGACATATGCAAAGCTATTTAACTTAGTGTGTAGAAAATATTAATTTTTCATAATATTTAATATTCTATCTAGATAATATGTAGTAAATGATGTGAAGGCGATGATATATGTCTGAATATAACCATAAATAAGTCTAATTGTTTTCACCGAGTAGTATTATACTTCATTTGAATTGATTTTAATCATAGTTAAATTATATTTTTGTTTGTTTTCATAATTCACGTTTAATTCTATAGCTCGGTGTCATTGTAGTCTTTCAGTGTCATTTCTTTGAAATGAAATGAAACGAAAATATCTTTATTTATAATCAGTAAGCTTGTTACAAGCACTTTTGAACCATCCCTTACCACATGTTCAGGACGTCTTTTAGCTGACAAGAAGAATAAGCGAAAGAAACTTACCAGCTCTTTATCATAAGTAATGACATTTACATAAATCGTGTCATTACCCTTTGGTAGTGCAGTTTAGTCAACTCGCTGATTTCTCTTTATTATTTCACTGGGTACTATATTCTGTACATATGATACCTGCCTTATGTTTAAGTATGTTTTATTTGTAATACCACTTCTGACATATGTAGCAATGCTGCCTGAGTATTGTTTGGTATTTTTGTTTTACCTTTTGATGCTCCGCCACATGCTACATTTGGGAAATGAGGTAAAGAAGAGACTTTGTGAAAAAGATGAAGATCCTATGATGAAAGCTTTTAAATAAAGCACTGTTACAAAAAAAAAAAAAACAAATGAAAAGGTCACTATTAGTCTGCTATGATACTTAGTTATTATTTGCATCTTTTTGGTTTATTTTATTTATTCCATTTATTACAAGCATTAACACTCATATACACAAATCAAAATTTAGTTTATACAAATAAATAAAATTGAAAATTGAAATATGCAATAAATTTAAATAAATTAGATACCAATATAGACCTCTAAAGTCTTTCCTCGTCGAAAATATCTCTTGTCACTACTGTATAGGTGCAGTCGTTAAATAATTATTGAATTTTTTTTTTTATTTGCATTGCGTTTCTATACGTGCCTAAATCCATACAATGATAGTTACCAATATACCTACAATTACGATATTTTTATTTATTAAATTTAAAATTGGCGTTTATTTGTATCAAAACGTAAAAAGGAATAAAGCGCATCAGCTAAACATGCGAAAGAGAGACAGTTTAGTAAACTGTTATATCTCTCGTCATAGATTTGCAAACCAATTAGACACAGTTTTCGACTTTCCCATTTGCCATTGTAACCACTTTATACCAACTAAATAATATCGTATTTAAAATGAAATTACAACATCGATTGTCATTAACTTCGTCAAAAATACACATATACATAGCTAGGTCTCGGCAATCGTATTGGGCGAGTAATAATTAAAAGCATGTTTGTGACGTCATTACATCTGCGGTTGGTGTGATCCAAATTCTAATTATCGGTCCGTTAATTATTTTCGTAAATAGTCTCCATAATTGGACAGTTCCAAATATAATAGAAAAACGGTAATAACCTGCAAAGCATCAGATGCGACTAAAAATGTAAAAAGTTTATAAATTAGTACAGAAAAGTAATAAAAGAGAAAATATGAATAAATATTACTAAAATGGACGCTGAAATTACTTTGTAAATTATTCTGTATAGACAATGTAATACACTTTGAAATAAGGCAAACGAATCTCCTGTATTTCCTGGACTAAATAACTTATAAATTTGCCTCCATTATTATGAAATTTCAATGTTCCATATTAAATTTTGCTTTTCTCAATCGGCTACATTCCTTAAAAGAAATAGAGCGGAGGTGAAAGATAACAGGGGCATTCGTCAATGGGTATAACATGTAGAAAAACTATAATTAAATTTGATATACAACGCGAGAGTGAAAGATATAGAAACTAGGAGATCCGAAATCTTACTTTCCACAGGTTGTCTGAAGTCATAAAAATAGCATAATATGAAAAGTTTAATTACTATATTCAATTACTATTTTTGTCCCCACTGCTGGGGCACATTATCTTCCTTAAGAACTAAATCAAAGAGGAATATAGCCAAAATTACGAACAAGGGCTCAGTGTCGATTGTTGGGTTTTAATATCTGAACCAATAGCGTAAAATACCTTCCAAAGCACAGAAAAGCTTAGGATAATAAATTCTTGGACATCCATTCTAAGACCGGCCTCTGAGAAAGTTGCTTCGCAAGCCGAAATGCTAACCGTCATAGAGCTCTTGACTGCATTTTGATTGAATCAGGCGTTTCAACCATATCGAAGTCAATTAAATTACGCAGTAGGCCTGCTGGACGGACACATAACATTTTAGCATTAGACATTCCTTTAACGATATCAATGGTTCCGTCCTCCATAATATTGACGGAATGCACGTAGGCACATGCGTGCAAATACCACCACTTCAAGCAATTCGATAAAGTTCAAAGTCCGTTGTTTATATCGAAGGACAATTGATGAGTCGTGCATTCAAGCAGCATGTATTTAAACCAAATACAGATGTAGTATGAAGTTGTATGGAGGTGCAACGTGCAGTGACTTTAATGAGGCTTTTTTATACGG